TTTTGAAGAATTTAAAAGTCATTAAAAGACACCACAGAAGTCGGGAAACTCAAGGTGTTCACCTCTTGAAAATTATTATGATGAATTAATGAACCCAGAGAAAGGGAGGTTCGGAAAATGTTGATTTCTAAATGGTGGACAAGTATTTTTTAATGACAAGGAGAAAATATCTATCTGTGGAAAATCTTTCCCCATTGAATGCCCTTTTCACCCGGGAAAGTGCCTGAAAACCTCAATTTTTAAATCGCATATTTTGTTGATTTTCCTCTAAAAATTGCACATTTTAGGGAGTTTTGATCAATTCCGATGAAATTAGAATTAAAAAACAAAAAATTTTCGCGCGCTTAGCGCGCATTTTTTAATGTTAAAGCTTGTGTAGCTTGTGCTTGCTCTCCTTTGCCTTCTAAGTTATAACACATAGTCCCAAACTCAAGAAAGAAAATTTCAGATAGATCGTTTTACCTAAAAGAGGGGCCTTAATGTGTAATGATGTTGAAAGGATATGTTTGTAATAAATAAAGCCATAAGGAAAATGCTTATATTCAGTTTAAAAAAACGAGTGTGGCCATATATAACATAAGAGCATTTCTTGTTGAGGTAGGCCAATTTCCTCTAAAAATAGCACATTCTATGGAGTTTTGATCAATTCCGACGAAATTAGAATTAAAAAACACAAAAATTGTTCGCGTGCTTCGCGTGCATTTTTTAATGTTGAAGCTTGTGCTTGCTCTCCTTTACCTTCGAAGTCATAACACATAGTCCCAAACTCAAGAAAGAAAATTTAAGATAGATCGTTTTACCTAAAAGAAGGGCCTCAATGTGTACTGATGTTGAAAGAATATGTTTGTAATAAATAAAGCCATAAGGAAATGCGTTCAGACTGTGAAGACGATCCTTAAGTTTAGTTGAGAATTGATTTAAAATAAAAACACCATAATTTTGTATATCAACAGGTAATAAGTTATCCCACATCCGAGGAAAGCGTATAAAAGTAGAGCGAAAAAACTATTTCAGTTGATCAAGGTTCCTAGCATGAGGCTATGTTAAAATGGATTGCTCTTTATGGATCTCCATGTGAAGACTCTTCATAATGAACATAATGTAAATATAAAGTAATCGACTGAAAAATAAGGTGATTTAAGTTTAACTGATCTATCAGAATATGAAATATGGGTTGGGTGAACATGCCTAGTAAAACGGAAACAGGCCCGAATATAGCATATCTGAATTGACTTGCGTTTGTCAATGCGACCTTGTTGAAACGGTAACCACACAGGAATACCGTACTAAATCAGCTGGTCTTAATAAAGAATTATACAACTTCATGAGAACAAAAGATTCGGGGACGTAACTGTACGTTTAATAAAACTTAACTGTTCGTCTAAAAAAACCTCAACTTTTAGGTCAATTAAAATAAATTGATAAAGAATCTATGCCATAGTTGACAACTTACCAAAACTCTTTCACGTTTCTGGTTTAATGTCCCTTGAATAGTGGTCCTATTCAAGAGAAACCCTTATCAAGGGGATCATTTTTAGTTCCGAAAGTGTCATCCTAAAGAGGTTATACAGTATACTGATAATTCCAACAACAAGCTTTCATAAAAATGATATTAAGTGCGAAAATCTGTTGCAGAGAAGGTTAAATAATACTGTTAGTTATTTTTCAACATACGGCTAAATGAAAGTCAACAATTGAATGGATTAGCCGCTGAATGTTACCGCCGATTTTAGAATAATCACATTTCAAATATTGTATTAAGCACATACTTTTATTTTAGATTTTTTCATGTACAAAAAATTACAGAAAAATATATAAAATATAATGGCAAATAAAAATATGTCTATAACAGCACGAAGTGTTCAAGTGTCTCATCCAGTTCATACGTTTTTTTACCTGTGACATGCAAAGTTTCACAACAGCATTTACGAGAGTAGGCCTACTGTAAATGCTCGAACAAGCGCCACTCTCGAATAAACGCCGCACCAAACGTAATTTATTTTCGTTAAGCGCCCCTCTCTAATAATTAAAAAATCTCATTATTTTTCAGACACTCAAGATAAATCATCGTGGGAGTTTGTACCTAGTGATATTTGTGACTCCTTTTGTACGGGCGGGAACTGCTGCCAGGCTCAAAAGGCAAATTGTGCATGTGCTCTTCAAAGTGGAGCGTATGGATGTGCATGTGCCCCAGGTTACACAGGGTCTGGTCTGAATGAGCAATGTTCACGTAAGTTTTTATCTATAACTGGCGCCTGGTATCTGTGCAGACCACGGGCTAAGATCGCTTTCAGCAGTCCAAGGTTTAGCAGCCCAAATTTAAAATGGTTTAGCAATATAATGATGTGTACCATCTTGACGAATGCCAGATAATAATCACGACACTTATTATATTTGTAAAACAAAACATATGGTTTTTCTTCATTGTCATAATGAGAAGTGATTTTAAAATTACACAAAAAAAATCATTTAAAATGTCTAATGTGAAAAACACACGGAAAACAAAAATTACATCATACATTTGCTTGGACAATGTTTGAAGAATATTTACGCACGAAAAGTGACCAAAGTGCCGGTCAGAAAAACTTTTTGCAAGAAATAGGAAAACACACACACATACATAATATACACATATATATATATATATATTTTCATTGTACATAATTCCTTTCAATTACTATATCCTAATTAATATTTACATCATTTCTTAGTATTTTTTCTAGAAGAGAAAACATTTGTACTACAAATACAAAATACATTATTTTTTATTTATTTTTTTAACTTTTTTTTGCTTATAGCCTTTAATTATGCCAATAATTGATAAAGTTACACATATTTGGTATTTGTAATAAATGGTTTTACTAGTGTCATTTCTACATACAAATATACTATCTGACCAATGTTCATTATTACATTTTCTTATGTTATTACAATAGTATTTTGTATTTTTCCCCATTTTCTTTCACCATTTTCTTTGTCATTATACATCTCACTTTTAATTTTCAATAGGATATCGCACTTAAAGGAGCTCCACAGTGATTTAAAACCTGTTTTATTCAACTCTGACAAAATTTTCTCTTTATAAATTTTAAATGCTGCAGATGTATATATTAAATCTTCTAATACACATCCAGTTCCAAGAATAAGTTTTTTAAAATGATCTATCGTCATTTGTAATACACCTTAAGACACTACTTACTTTCCTCCAAAATGTTTCTATATGCGAACAACTAAAACGCAAATGGTTTTCATCTTCAGGAACTCCACATTTGCTACACATTTCGGATTCCTTGATTTTCCATATGTAAAGCCTTTTGTTTGTAGGCAATATACGATTTAAAATTTTGTAATTGAATTGTGCTAGCTTTTTGTCCTTCATTTTACACACTTTATATAACCAGCACGTTTTCCAGTCGATGTTGTTGTTATTGAAGTATTTTTCCCATTTATTGAAGTATTTTTCCATTTATTTTGTCCATTAGGTGTAACAAACATTTCATTTACAAAGCACGAATATATTTTTTTGTGTTAATACCTTTATACTTTGTATTAATATTAGGTTTTTCTTTAATTTCAAAATTAATAGCAGGTTTAATTACATGTTTCCATTGATCAGGTATGGCCTTAGGTATGCACAAATATTCGTTTAGCCAATTTGACTTATATTTAAATTATTTGAGTTTAAAAATTTGTTTTTGTTGACTATGTCTTTTTAAACATTAAAATTATACCACTAGTAATCCAGTGTCTGTAACAGAGTGATTTGCTTTTTAGTTGTATTGCATGGTTGCCCCATAGCTGCTCATTCAGTATATCATCATATGTTTCAACCTGTTTCTTGTTACATTTGTTAAACTCTGTACATGCTTGGATAATATTTTTATAGAAGACCGGTAAGTCAAGTGCATTGATATCAGTAAAATTCAAACATGTCATGTTAAACATTACTTTTACCGTGGCTACTTTCTGAAAAAAGTATTCTGGGATAATTTTCCACTTTGCTTCGTCATAGTTTAGAAATCGTTTTACCCACGCGACATTTAATGCATTAATATGTAATCCAAACTCTGGCATTTTATGCCACCTTTACTTACATCACCAATTTATTTTTTCACCTTTATAATTCCAAATATAATCATGTATTAAACGTGTAACTTTTGTAATGACATACTTTGGTACGTTTATAACATTTGCAATATATGTAAGTTTTGCCAGTGCAAGGCTCTTTAAAATTAAAACTTTTCCAAACACTGAAAGATTTCTTAAACGCCATAATTTTAGAGTTCTCTCAAGCTCTAACATTTTTTCATCCAAATTTTCAGCACTACATAAATCTGAATTGTATCCTACATAGATTCCTAAAATTTTAATCGGCTGTTTCACCCAACACATATCAAGTGGTTCATCCATTCTATCTTTCCACTTACCAATCCAAAAGGCTTTTGTTTTTTTTGTCTATTTAGTGTCATTCCTGATACTTTACAAAAGGGTTCAATAATATTGAGAGCTACTTGAAGTCTCCAACATACAGAACAGTATCGTCTGCCAGTTGACTAATTCTGGCCATAACCTCGACCACAAATATAAATAAAAGTGCTGATAACGGGCAGCCTTGTCGTATGCCTCTCTCCATGCTAAAATTTTCCGAAACCTATCCGTTATTCACACATTCGACATTTTTATATAACACTTCAACCCATTTACAAAAAGAATTTCCAAAGTTAAACTTTTTTAACACAGAAAACATAACATCTCTATTAACTGAATCAAAAGTTTTTTTAAAGTCTAAGATCATTATTGCCCCTTCAATATCATGTCGTTCGGTATAGTACAACAAATCTTCTATTAAACGGATATTCTCTCCAGCCAGACGCCATTTTATGTATCCCTTTGATCTGAGTTTACTAGTAATTTAATAACCCCCCGTAACCTATTACTGAGAACGTGTGCAAGGATTTTATAATCAGTATTAAGAAGAGTTATGGGACGCCAGTTATTTAGGTTTTGTCGTTCACCCCCTTTAAACAATAGGGTAATTACCCCACGTCTTTGCGAGCAAGATAGCTGATGTGCCCTAAAACCTTCATTTATTGCATTATACTATCCCAAAAAAGACGTAGAACTCAACACTAAGTCCATCTGACCCTGGGGATTTATTTTTATTCATATCTGAAAGAGGATTCTCACACTCATCAATAGTGACAATGCCTTCACAGAGATCTTTTTCTTCTTCCGAAAGTGCGTTCACCCTGGTACTAGCGAGGTACGTTTTTATTTAGATTTTTAAAATGTGTAACTTGTTCTCTTAAAATATCAACTGAGCTTGGTTCCTAAGTTAGTAAATACATTTTTAATTTGTTTGTTCTTGCTATTTGTTTTCTCTAAACCTAGGAAAAATTTAGTATTACGTTCGCCCTCCTCAATCCATTTCGCTTTGGATCTAATTTGAGTACCTTTTGCCTCGATATCATATATTTTTTCAAGTTCCTTTTTTTTGCTTTCAATATTATTCTTAATAGCCTCATCTCTTGTACAATTGTTATACCTATTTCATTCAATTTACTTATGTTTTTGTAATTTTTCATTTTTTATCTTATGGTTCTTATTTTCTTTCTTTCCGTAAAATATCGAAGCTTCTTTTATTTTTGTTTTCACGAAGTCCCATAATAATACTGAATTGAGTGAATTGTAATTGCGTTTTACGTTTTCATTAATAATTTTGATTATTGAGTTTTTGTAAATTTCATCCTTTAGGAAGCTGTTATTAAATTTCCACAAACCAGGCCCGCGCCTTTCTTCATGCAAGTCTAACTTAACAGACTGCTTGATGGTCTGTATGTATTGCTCGACGAATATCACAAGATATGACATCACCGTTCTGAAACATTTCTTCTGATATTAAGAAGTAGTCTAGTCTACGATAAATATTGTTAATTTTTTTGCGCCAAGTAAATTACAATTTATTTTCGTTTACCATTCTCCAACTGTCAGTCAGTTTTAAGTTTCTCATTAAGATTTTCACAGTATATACTGATTTATCCAGTCTATTTATACTTGCTTTTTGATCTAGGTCTCTATCCATAATACAGTTTAAATCGCCACCCAAAATTATATTTTTGCAATTTTCATCTAAAAAATTATTGTAGCATTTATAAATATTTTTAAAGAATTCACTTCTAATTTTACTCTCGTTCGGAGCGTATATTTGATAATTAAAAAATGTTTTCCATGTATTATTAAGTTTAGAAATATGTATCTTCCATTTGTGTCAACCAACTTCTTAACCAATTTACCTTCAATACCTTTTCGTATAAGTACTGTTACCCCTCTACTATGCGAGCTGCCTATACTATGTATGGCTTCTCCTTCCCAGACAAAGTCAGATTTATTAAGTAAATCACTGGTTAGGTGCGTTTCCTGTAGCAGAAGTATATCCGCCTTTTGGTTTTTACACCAGCTGAATGTCTTCCGTTGATTATCTTTAGTTCTGATACCTATTATTTAATGTGATAAAATGTATGTTCATATTTAATTGGATTGTTATATAAACAGTATTTACTTAATGTAACGCGTTTAGCATTAATAATTCTAATAAGCCTAATGATAGTAAGTGATATAATTCCACGTCATACTGATAAAACATAGATAGAAAAAGACCTATGATTGTGAACTATGTATTATATAAAGTATGCACGTTACTGTTTATTTGCTTTTCTTTTTCTTCCTTAGGTTTTTTTTTTCGGTGTTGCATTTTTCATTGGTATTAGTTTGGATTGTCCTTGATCCTTATCTGCCTTACCTTCTTCATCTTCCTTAGACGAGGGGGCATTTGTTTCTGGTAGAAACAGATTGCCACTCTTAGCTTCATGTACAGTTGACCCAAAATAGTCGGTCACCCTCTTCTGCTCCTGTTCGTGCTTTGATTCAATGATTTCGTCTCCATCAGCGGATTCACTTACGTTTTCTTCCTTATGAGAATTATCACGCGTAATGTTTTCGTCACCATGTACGCTACTGCCATTGTCAGCGCTATCATGGATGCTGAACACATCATCGCTGTCTCCCTCCGCATCTGAATTAATTGCAGTATCACTTACTTTCTCTTTCTCAATCCGTGTTTTTCCCTCTTTTGTTGACTTTGGTGTGTTTACAAAGGACTCCCACATCCGATTGATGTACGCTCCGGCAGACCCGATGGAATTGTCGTCCTGACATTGATCCTTTGTGTGGCCTTCCCGGTGACACTAGAAGCACACAGGTTCCGATTTACATTGATAAGAAAGATGGCCGATTTTTAGGCATTTATTACATTTTAGCTCTTGCCCTTCATAGAAAACACGGGCTCTAAATCCATTTATAGTTACTTGTCTTGGTATCGATGATGTCAATTTCTCTACAAAAAAAGCCCTATCCCCATTTAACCAACTGGTTAGCTGGCCATTGACTCTAATTTTCATCCTCATGACATCTCCTACCGGCTTGCACCCTAGTGCTTTAAGCCGATTAATTATTTGAGTCTGCAACTGACAATGGGATATCCTTAATAAGTAATCTTGTGGTTCCTTTAGAATTGAAGGCAGAATATGGGTTTTTGTCATACACCGACACGTTGCAACTTCTTATATTCACTCCTTTTGTTATTAACTGTACTCTATCCTTTCTGCTATTTAGATATATTCTCCACAGATTGCGTATCTTTTGCACACCGATGATGCTCTCTGCAGAGATACATTTCGTAAGAGCAATGCAAAGTTCCTCATCTCTGCATTGAGTTTTGACGCTATCTGTAGGAATTTGGTCAACCTTTATAAACACAGGTTTCACAATACTGTGCGATTTGTTTATGCTTTCCTTTTCAATAGGTTTGCTTGATCCTTTGTTTGTTTGGTTGTCTGTAGCAACACTGATATCCGTAACGGCGGGAAGCCTTGGATTATAAGCAGACATCGTAAAATATAATTTGGTCTAGATGATGAGATTAGTATTCTCATTTACAGATCAGCCACTTTCCTGGTGTTCTCTGACATTAATTATAATTACTTACTCGATTCTCTTTTTACTCTAAATGTATACTGAAAAATGCTGTATTTACGAAGAGATATAAGTGGACCGTCACCTTAGTTTTCAGACCACAGCGTGGGTGTGTGTATGTGTGTGTGTGTGTATATGTGTGTGTGTATATATATGTATATAATGTTTGTATGTATGTATATATATATATACTGATTAAACAAGAATTTTCAAAAAAATATATGTTACAGAGGGGAAGGATGAAAAATATATATATTCCAGTGACAGCAATGATTAAAATCAAATGCTTGATAGAATTGATCTAATTAATTTTATCAGTCATTTTAATTGTATATAAGCATATGAGTACTATGTCAAATTTGTAAGATACTGTGCATGTATATAAATAGGAATTGTGTATATACATTGGAGAACGTATTATAATTATACTTACATGGAATGACAATAAAGGTGGGAAACACCCCCAAAAGAAAAAAAAATAAATAGGAAAACACATAGAGGAAGAAAAATAAATTAAAACAAAAACAACGGCTATTTGTGCTAATGCAGAGGCCAATAAAAAAAAACATATCAAGTTAAAAAAAACATGTGTAAGTAACCCAACGTTAGTGAGACTCACAATTATAACTGCAATGTAGTGAAATTGCAAGCTATATGAGCCAATCCAACCCGTGAGTACGTCAGTGCATTTTATAGTTCATAGTAATTCAGTGATTGAGAGCGAAAATTGTTCATGCATATCATCAATTTTGCGTTTAACCAGACTACAACTGGTTTAAATGCTTTAGAAGCGGAAATTGCTTTTATATATTGTAATTACCGGTTTATTAATATTTTTAAATGGTCCTCATATTCACACTCTACTTCTGATCGTCACCAAAATAATGTAAACATTTTTTCATTGGACCATGACAAACTAATCTAGAAAGTTTAATTTAGATCTATTGATAAGTTGTTTGAGATAGGCCTATTTAGGTCAGGGAACTTAGTTCCACACCCGAATCTAGATGTCACCAATGTTTTATAATTGCTTCCCTGTAATGTAGTTAAACGTTCCAGAAAGTTTGATTCAGGTGATGAGTTGATCAGTTTTTGGCACATCTCTTCCTCATATTGGACCATGACAAACGGTTATGGAAAGTTTCATTTAAATCCATTTAAGAATTTTGGATATATTTAGGTCTAGGGCACACCTGAATCTGGATCGTCACCAAAATCTACTAATTTCTTCCATGTAACTTGATTAAAGTTTCCCGAAAGTTTCATTCAGATCAGTTGACCCGTTCCGGAAATATCTGGTGTGGAGTGTTTTCTTTCATTCCCCTTTAATTGTCACTGAATTTTAGAAGGCATATCCTTGATATATGATCTATGCTTGAAATGGTTTGAAAAGATCAAAGCATTTGAAGTGGCCAAAGTGCCGGGCTGAAAACCCAAGAAAAAACGATATGGAAAAAAAAGGGCAAAAGCAATGGCTTTTCCAGCTATTGCTGGGAAATCCAATAATAATAATAATAATAATAATAATAATAATAATAATAATAATAATAATAATAATAATAAAAGTAATAATAATAGTAATAATAATAGTAATAATAATTATAGTAATAATAATAGTAATAATAATAATAGTAATAATAATAGTAATAGTAGTAGTGGTAGTAGTAGTAGTAATAGTAATAGTAATAATAATAGTAGTAACAGCAACAGAAACAGCAACAGCAGAAACAGCAGCAGCAGCAGTAACCACATCAATAATAATAATAATAATAATAATAATAATAATAATAATAATAATAATAATAATAATAATATAAATAATAAATAATAATAATAACAACAACAAAAACAATAACAGCAACAACAGCAGCAGCAGCAACAACAACAGCAGCAACAACAACAACAACAACAAGACCCAGTAGAATAAATAAATAAAATATGATACAACTTTAAATTAGTGATCAAAATATAATTTACAATGTCGAATGGCTAGAACGTTGTAAATAGTTTAATCTATTTGTTAAAGTCTTATCTAATACAAGCAGTCTTTAGGCATCATGACTGCATACTTTTGCAGGGATGAAGAGTAAGATCATTTGGTTTTGAGTAGTACAGTTTTATCTATTATTTTACAGCCTGTGATATTGGCTATTATAAATCAGTGTGGGGCCGGCAGGCTTGTGACGCATGTCCAATGAATTCTGAAACTAAAAGCAATGGTGCCACGGCTGAAAGTGAATGTGAATGTAGTGAAGGTTACAAGAAAAATTTACAAAATCAATGTGAAGGTAGGATACTGCTATTTTTTAAATTTTTCAAATTGGTTGTTTATCGATTTATATATCAGATAATACTTGTGGCACGTATGGACTGAACAGGTGCTTTTAGCACATATCTAGAATTTTTAAATTTTTAGACCAAGGAGGGAAAATCATTATCATATTGTGTTCATCAAAATTTGCCTGTTAATTGAGGAAGCCCCATTGTGTTTGGTTGTCATTGTTTAGTTTTACAGTAATGCCTAGGAATGTTTTTTTTTTTTTTTTTTTTTTAATCTGATTTGAACATAAGATAAAATTCTTGTTTGTAGAGGGCGATAGTTAGATTAGTGTTAGTATTTTTTTGGAACAAGGTGCCGTCAATATTTCACGCGTGGACGCCCTTTCAAATGACAATAATTAAATAGATTATAAAAAAAATGAAGTAGTTGTTGTAGTTTAAGATTTGAAATCTTTACGGATGGATACTGGCGCACAACAATTTTTCATTATTATTATTATTATTATTATTATTATTATTATTATTATTATTATTATTATTATTATTATTATTTACAATTACTTCCAAAGTGATGATAGCGACCTCCGTCATCGTAACTAAGAGCGTGACACATTCACATCTAGCGTTTAGTTAAGCATGCATCTCTCAAGGGAATACAATAGAAAAATGTAGTTTTCATTCTAAACTGAATTAAACATTTTTTTACAGTTGTTTAGGAGTTAAAGAATGTCAAGATTTGTACTATATATATATATATATATATATATATATTATCCGTTTTCAGTTGTGACATGTAGTGTATTGACACCTAGCATAGGTGTCATCAAGGTGTCATCAAACTGTGGCAATGTATTGAATGATGAGTGTCGATTTAAATGCGCTACCAACTACAAAACAATTAGTGGAAATGCAGTAAGAACATGCCAACCAAACAGCTCTTGGTCTGGCACTCCTCTACAATGTTCTGGTAAGCATGAATAATCAACAGCATAAACTAATCAGAGTCATTGTATTCATCGTAATCACCATCTTCAGTAACACCATTACTACCAATGCCGTAGCCAGCTGTTGGGACAGTCCCACACAATTTTTCTAATGGGTCTACAAAGAATATGTCCACATTTTAAAACATTTGTCCAAATTATGCAGTTTTATGCATAAAATGAGTCCATTTTGAAAAAAATTTAAGTAAGTGGGTCCATATTGCCAATACGTGTAATGTGGGTACACCCTGATATTGTCCCGCACTGTCTAAAAATTCTTGCTACGGCATTGATTACCACAATCACCATCGATATTTATGTTTGTTTGTCATATACTCCTCAGCTACAGTTTAACTTTCAGTAGTTAGCCAGACCACAAAAAGAATTTTTGTCCCAAGAACAGTGAAATCGGGTTATCAGAGTTGTTAGTCGTTCAGGTTATTTAAACCCTATTTCTGAGACTGATGGCCAACCATCATTTACACATGCACGTAGACTGCTACTTTAACTATAGCTTGGAAATTCTTTTTTGGACATCATGCTATGATTTAAACCAACTCTTTAGCAAAAGTGTATGATGTACATTATAGAACCTGTTAATATTATATGTACAGTTTATAGATTATACAAGACTGCACGGAAAAGAGAGATGCTGATCTTCCCTGTTTGTTTAAACAAATGATCTAACTTCCAATTAACAACCTATGTTCTTAGGTCTACTTTTAAAAATATTTAAATAAAGTAATACAAAATACATAAACAAATATTTTACGTATTCGTTTGTGTTCTTGGGCAATGCTCTTTATCCTCGTTTTTCTTCACTCAGCTAATATATATCAGGCCCTTGTTATTACATTTATATACCTTTCTGAAAACTAATTTTAGAAATCCTTTGCAAAACGCTGCCGAATGTGGAGTTTGGGACTTTAAAATGTAACAGTAGCAAACTATCCGTCGGTACGGAATGTGAAGTGAATTGTGAGGAAGGGTACAGTATAAGCGGAGATGCTATCCGGACTTGTGAGCTCTCTGGTATTTGGAGCGGGAATACACAGACATGTGAACGTAAGCCATTTTTTAAAAGAAATTAATGTTGCATGTTTTACATATTTTTTTCTTAGTTTATGGCATCAATGTGTACAAAAATAGTTGAAAAGGATAAGCTCTACGTTAATTTGTTTGTATATATTTTATTACACATTAACTAATCTCAGTAACTCGAGAACTTCTAACCTGAGACCTATTCTTACATAAAATAATAAATACTTTCAAAATCTGTTAAAAAACGAGAGCATACATATAGCGTAGTTTATTTTAAAAATACAAGTGAAAAGATGAGCACTACAAAAAATTCCCAAACAAAATATAATAATAATAAAAATAACAATAGAAGTTTTAGATTACAAAATATTTACTATAGGCGTGTTTGTAAACACCTGATACCAGAAATTTGAAGTAACCGTTTTGCATGTGGTTGTTAAGATATTTTATTTCAAGAGCATAGACTCAAATCCAGAATAACTTTCGTATTAATCCATATTGTCAATTTTTTATTTGCTAGCCCTAGAATGTCCGGTTATAAAACTTCATCAAGGTGGAGCAAATATGATACTTACACCCAGTGAATGTTTGAATTCTACGCTTCCATACAAATCAGTATGTAATATTTCGTGCGTCGATGGTTATGGTCTTATAGGTCCAAAATCACATGTGTGTCAAGCCAATCAGGCGTGGTCAAAATCAAAAAACATTACTACAAAATGCAAAGGTTGGTGAAGGTTTTGATTTTTTCCTCTAAATTGTAATAGAAAATCATCAACATTATCAACATTATTGAGTAAAACATGGTAAAATGGGGTGCAACCGCCTGTTGCTAGCTTCCATATTGACAGTAAAATGAATTGATGTATGGATATTGTAAGGTTAAAGAAGAGCTGTCTGTGTCAACGCATCACTAACAACCCACAACTTCGTCTACCCCAGCCAAAGACCCACACACACATGGAGTTCATGTCCACTTCACTCCACTATCGTAATTTTTCTATCCCGCACCCAGAGATAGGCCTTTGAATTACACCTAGAAGCACGTCAATCCCAGCTCTGAAATTTCAATTAAATGATTAAGTATTTGTAAAAAGTTATGGCAGGCGATCATTGACTTGAAGCAGTTGTGCCAAAACTAAATCTGTATACGTGTATTTATGTAATTACGGACTACCTCGAATTTAATGAACACTTCAAATGCCAAGGATGAACACCTATCCTTCATATTATTTTTTTAAAGACCAAAGCTAACACAGAGCACTAAAATGGGTGCCCAAAGTGGTCTTTATATGGAGCGAGACCTAAATTTCATAATAATATAACTATGACTTATATCATATTTTTTTTGCTATTGGCAGAACATATTATGCCTCATATAGTAAATAATAAAATAAAAAAGAGGAGAAATAAAACCTTTTTTAACTACACGTGGGAATCATGAGGGCCGTGATTTCCATTTATCTATATTGATAATCTTAAGATGAGGGGAATGGTTTGAATATTAACATAGAGATGAGATCTGTCAACATCAATTATGGCGATAGAAATATTGGAAGTGTGGGTATTGGTAGAAGCTTTAGATGCCTATTTTATGTCTAATTACCTAGCTTGAAACATACTTATATATATATATATATATATTTGTTTACAGATATTGAACCACCTGTAATTACAAATTGTCCTCAGGATATTGAAGCCGATACAGATCCATTGAAGGATACAGCAGTGGTAACTTGGCCCTCGCTAATCGTTAATGATAACTCTGGAGATAAGCTTACTCCTAAAGAAAGAAGAATACCAGCAACGACAGGCCAGGAGTTTAGCATAGGGACAACTCTTGTAAAATTCCTAGTTAAAGATGCTAAAAAGAATAAGGCTAGGTGTAATTTCAATGTTAACGTAATAGGTATGGACTAAAATTCCACATGATTTTAACTTATTTAGAAAGTTTTAAAGAAACAATGCATATAATAATTCGGAAAAATAAGCCATTGTTTGTGCTTGCTTTGGCCATTCGAGTTTAAAAATTAAAGTTAATGTTTCTCCCTTAATATAGGTGCACTATTCACATTGAATTAAACCTATGAAACAACAGATATTCTTCGCAGTGAATTAATTACGTTCAAACATCTATTGGAACGTACGTCAGCAGAACAGTTTCAAGTGTCAAAACAGCGTTTTGATACTATTTTTAAAAATATCAGTGCATATTAACGTTTATGTATTGAAATAAGAAAAAAAAAAGAATACAAATGCCCTACCCCGTTTGAAAAATTCTGGATCCGCCACCTGTTCAATGAGACTAATTAAAAATGGTTTACGTCCTACTATGACAAATGCTCGTTTGTATATCCTCATGATGCTTGGAATACATCTTGATCGGGGAAGCAACCTCGTGGTTTACAGATTTTAGGCAAAATTTCCAAAATTTAGAATTTCACTTAAAAATTATAAGCTTGTACTGTGACGTTCCCTGTGACGTTGTGTTTTCTTAATTTATCGTAGTATAATGTCACAAATTGGTAGCCTTACAATTTACAATAATAATAATAATAATAATAATAATAATAATAATAATAATAATAATAATTTATTTGCGTAGCGATTGACAGTGCGTTCATAAAATGCTTTAAAACAAATACTGTATACAGAAACAGAAAGAGACCTTATTTCCGTTGGGGTCCTTCAATAAAATAAAGAATACAAAACACAGAAGTAAAAAATCAGCATAAAAAATGGCAGACGAATAATTTAGTAAAAATGAATGATAATACTTAATTGCTATAAAGTGTGAAATTTCAATTTAAAAGTTTAAAAACATTAAAAAGTTTAATAATTTTTAAATTTTCAATATTTAAATAAATTATAAAATTGATGAATTTCTTCAACTAGACGAGATGTCATTACATACAGCAACAGCCCTACTCACTGATCTAAACACGATTATATTTCGATAAAACTTCAGAAAAAAAATGAGAGGAGTTGTTTTTCTTAGTAAGATTTTCTAACATCCATACAGTCAAATAAAATATTCAATAATTCAACAGTCAGACATCTATTCTTTTAAGTCAATAAGTATTCAAAGAATCAATCATCATCGATAAAATTAAAACAAAACACGTACATAATATTTATAATATTTACTTCCAGATAGAGAGCCACCAGCTGTGGTCTCCTGTCCCACTGACATTGAAATAGAAAGTTCGCAAAGCACCATCAATGTAACCTGGAAAGAACCAGAATTTAAAGATAATTCTGGCAAATTTACTCTTCAATCAAACAAATACTCTGGTTATCGGTTCAACCAATTTGAAGTATTGCTAGTTTCCTACAAGGTTGAGGATTCCTCAAAAAACACAGCCTTTTGCAATTTTTCTGTGAAAGTGAAGCGTAAGTATACATTTAGAACAATTTATTTGATCAAAGATGACCACAATAATCACATAAGTGATAATTCAAATTTGTAAATGATTACATACAATTGGAAAATAGAGTAATACAGATGACAACTGGTGATATAACAATAATATTATCAATAATAATAATACTAATACTACTACTACTACTACTACTACTACTACTACTACTACTACTACTAATAATAATAATAATAATGGTAATAATGATGATTATGATTATGATAATTATAATAAGAATTGTTATTATTATTATTACCTGTATTATTATTATTATTATTGTTATTATTATTATTATTATTTTTATTATTATTATTATTTATTATCATTATTATCAAACCACATATTTTTTTCAGCTTATTCATGTCCTTTCCAACCACCCCCTGCAAATGGAGCTGTTGCATATGATTCTTGGGCAGGTGGTCAAATTTACCGGATCTATTGCCATGCTGGCTTTGAATTTTCACGTACACCCGAAGAAGCGTACTTCTGCTCAGGTAGGTTTTTAGCGATTCATTGAGATAAGAATTCTACTATTATTATGGAAATCTGGTTTGGTGCAGCGGTTTTTATTCTGGCCTTTGTAGTCATGAGTACCACACACTGATCATTTTGAGGCTGTCATGCACAAGTAACCAATTTTGTTATTATTCATTGTTCATTTTTTGTTATTTTTATTTATTTTAAATTGAGCCGTATAAAGAAACATTAAATGTTCTTAAATGCCCTATTTTTCCTAACATGGTCGTCTTCTCCCATTTGTATGCATCATAAACCTTTAATAATTTTTTTGCAATCGTTTTTGGCAAGACTGGTATTTCATTTAATTTAAATTATTTTATCACTCCATAAAAAATACAGTATTAAATACAAAAAGCAAGACAATTAAAAGTTTCAGGAGGTCGACAGGATTACCAATAGCAAAAATAAATCACTTTCTATGTGGCTCTCCCACCCCATGATGCAAAAAAAAATTATATACAAATAATTATGTGTACATAATTTTTGTTTTGTTTTATTGCTGTTGTTGATAATATATATACTGTACCTGTATGATGTATGACCAAATAATATTAAGTGTTAATGTTAGAGACTGTTCAACTACTATGTTCTAATATATAATGTCATTTGTACTTATAGCAGATGGCAAATGGGTTCAACCTCCACCTTTTAATGATACTTTTGAATTACCATGGCCAGACTGTTCCGGTAAGTTTCAGATGCCCATCCTCTGTATTTACTAAGAAAAGTCAGAGCAATTATTTTAAAGATTCATCATGGGTTTGTAATTTTTAAAACTGTTAAATTGATTAAAAAATAGAGATTAATATTTACAACAAAGAAATATATGTTAGTCAATAAAGAAAATAATTAAAAAGGTTAAATAAAAAAAATGTTAATATAAACTTAATTTATGAAACAACAGTTTCCTTATTATTGTAAACTGGTTTCTAATTTAAAAAATAAGGTAACATATATGTCATTTCTTATCTGCTACATTATTAATTAAACAAACATTTAAATAACTTCAGATCATTTGAAGCATATAAAAAAATACATTTTCTAGTAGAAACCAAAAGTATCCGACCAGTTTTTCGAAATCAAGTTTGCCAAAACCCGGTTTGCCCGAGTTTGTGGCCACTATGATGAAACCCAGTTTGCCGAATCAAGTTCACCGAAAATATAAGAACCCAGTTTGCCGTAACCGGGTTGCCAAAACCCAATTTGCCGAAGTTTGTCATCACCGTTAGGAAGAAGTCGTATGTGATATAAAAAAACAAAAGTATTTTGGGAAAAATATCTAGTACAAAATTGATGGATAAGCACATGTTATGACGTTAAAAGTAAACCAGGACCTCTGGTCCTTTCTAAGTGGTTTTATGTATGTATATGTGTGTATGCATGCATGTATATGTATATGTATATGTATATGTATATGTATATGTATATATATATATATATATGTATATATATGATATTGAAGGGAGTTAGCCGTTAACACTGTTGAATAAATATAATATAAATCATCAAAGGTACATATACAGTGTTTAAATAAGGACATGATGGAGCATCGTAGGCTACCCTGTAGCTTTTCAACGAATAAAGAACTTTGATGATTTATATATATATATATATAAAAGAATATATACTAAAGAACCTTTGATGATATATATATATATATATATACATACGTATATACATATATATACATATGTATATATATATACATATATATATACATATATATACATACATATATACATACACCCATATATATATATACATACATACATACACACACATATATATACATACATATATACACATATATACATACATATATACACATATATACATACATATATACACATATATACATATATACATACACACATATATATATATATATATATATATACATACACACACACATATATATATATAATGAATAAATGTAGTTGGCAATACTAGCAACGTATATATATATTACATTAAATATAATAATAACAATAAATCAATAAATATAATAACATAAGCGCATACATTTAATACTGTACAGACTTATTAAACCTTTTATTAATATTAAAGGATAAAGCCCATACGCATCGATTGCAGGAGCGGGTAAGGGAGGCATCATTGTTAATTTTTCACTGCTTTTAATTGGCTTTCGGCAAATTGGGTTTCAGCAAATTGTAATTCATTATTTTTGCGTCGGATAACTGGTATTCAGTATCAGCAATCTGGCATTCGGCAAATTGGATTTCGACAATCTGACTTAGATCCAAGTCTAAACGTGCGTAAAAAGTTGCTTCATTACTGGTTTTTTTTTTAATTCTGAGATTCGCCGTTAGTAAATATATAACTGTTATACAATTGTTACATTTTTGATTCAGTATTTTGCTATCAAAAACTGATTGTCTTTATCGCCGGCAAAGAAATTTTAAAATGATGTGCTTCAGTTCTTTATCTCGTTTTACTCGTAGTATGAGCGTTTTCAATTTGTCATCCACTTTCAGGTCATCATTTTAAATATATTAGTCAATTCTGGAATACCAAATTGTAGATTGAAATTACATGGGTGATGTTTTAGGTAAAGGAGCCCTTTTTAGCACCTTTGCTGACTCAGTTTTAATTCATTTTTTGTTGCAATCTTATCGACTTAAATTCTTGTAAAATACTTGTAAAAACTTAAGCTTAATGTTGTTATAAGGACCCTTATAATCATACAAGGTACCACCAGTATCTTTAGTTCTTATACATATTAGTTATGAAGGTTTCATCTGCGAGTATTGTTTTGCACCTGAAAGAGCCCTTGACAATTCACATACCTGATCAGACAATGTTGCTTACATCCTGTTAGAAAATACTCAATTCAATTTAAAGGGTGGGCAATGAGATCAAATTCGGTTTAAAGTTTATTAAATTATTACGGAGTGCGAGATAATGTGAACAAAGTCAACGACCCAAGCAGAATACGCCTTTATCTAGGGAGGTTGTCCAAGGTGCTATGGCCTTCACAGAGAGTAAGTCTATGCTGTGCGTTGAGCTGAAGCTCATTCAAGTTGCTCCAAAGTTATCATAGACTATGCTTTCCAATACTTTGCAAAGGAGCAACCTTTAGGCTGGGGTCTGTAATTCTCATACATACACACACACACACATATATATATAATGAATAAATGTAGTTGGCAATACTAGCAACGTATATATATATATTACATTAAATATAATAATAACAATAAATCAATAAATATAATAACATAAGCGCATACATTTAATAATATACAGATTTATTAAACCTTTTATTATATTAAAGGATAAAGCCCATACGCATCGATTGCAGGAGCGGGGTAAGGGAGGCATCACTGTTAATTTTTCACTGCTTTTAATTGGCTTTCAGCAAATTGGGTTTCAGCAAATTGTAATTCATTATTTTTGCGTCGGAAAACTGGTATTCAGTATCAGCAATCTGGCATTCGGCAAATTGGATTTCGACAATCTGACTTAGATCCAAATCTAAACGTGCGTAAAAAGTTGCTTCATTACTGGTTTTTTTTTTTAATTCTGAGATTCGCCGTTAGTAAATATATAACTGTTATACAACTGTTACATTTTTGATTCAGTATTTTGCTATCAAAAACTGATTGTCTTTATCGCCGGCAAAGAAATTTTAAAATGATGCGCTTCAGTTCTTTATCTCGTTTTACTCGTAGTATGAGCGTTTTCAATCTGTCATCCACTTTCAGGTCATCATTTTAAATATATTAGTCAATTCTGGAATACCAAATTGTAGATTTAAATTACATGGGTGATGTTTTAGGTAAAGGAGCCCCTATTTAGCACTTTTGCTGACTTCTCAGTTTTAATTCATTTTTTGTTGCAATCTTATCGACTTAAATTCTTGTAAAATACTTGTAAAAACTTAAGCTTAATGTTGTTATAAGGACCTTTATAATCATACAAGGTACCACCAGTATCTTTAGTTCTTATACATATTAGTTATGAAGGTTTCATCTGAGAGTATTGTTTTGCACCTGAAAGAGCCCTTGACAATTCACATACCTGATCAGACAATGTTGCTTACATCCTGTTAGAAAATACTCAATTCAATTTAAAGGGTGGGCAATGAGATCAAATTCGGTTTAAAGTTTATTAAATTATTACGGAGTGCGAGATAATGTGAACAAAGTCAACGACCCAAGCAGAATACGCCTTTATCTGGGGAGGTTGTCCAAGGTGCTATGGCCTCGCCTTCACAGAGAGCAAGTCTATGCTGTGCGTTGAGCTGAAGCTCATTCAAGTTGCTCCAAAGTTATCATAGACTATGCTTTCCAATACTTTGCAAAAAAGCAACCTTTAGGCTGGGGTCTGTAATTCTCTAATTGACATTAATGTTATGTTTTTTAACGAATATTGTCTCCTTTCAATAAAACAGGACTTTACAACTGTCATGCTGTAAAGACATATTATAGTCAACAAGCAGGGTATACCATGGCAAATGTCAAACCATCAGGACCAGGATACTTTTTGAAGACTGCTTACTTGTTGCTTGTTAGCATTTTCGGCCTCATCATCATTTTTCCATATTTGTCTCTGGTGTGCATTCTACATTCAACTGATCCCACCATTATTGTGTAGATCGTCTCTCCATCTATTAAAAGGTCTGCCACTTGGTCTTTGGAAATTCTGTGGTGTCCTGACAGTTTTCCTCACCTGCTGCCGTGTCCTCGCATGATATAGCCTGCCCATTTAAATTTTAGTTTTCTTATTTCTTTGATCACACACTTTATACCTGTTAGTTTTCTTAATTCCTTGTTGGATAACTTACCTTCGCATGTGACTCATACCATTTTTTTAATGGTCTTATTGTGATGCACAACATATTTTGAACTTTCTCAGAAAGAAACCATGTGTATCACAGCCATATGTAAACATCAGGATAATACACTGGTCGAATAGTTGTTTTTTTAGACACTCTGTTAGCTTTTGGTCTTTAGTTTGTGGAACTTATCCAAGGTTTGGTGTATTCATCGCTTTAAATCTTCGATTATTCCATCCTTCTTTTTGAAGAATGTGAACAATTGAATAAACCGGCATAGTAAATGTATCCTAAAGCTGAGATAATTGTATCATTTTGTACAGTAGTAGCTGAGTGTGAAATATGATATTAGTGAATTGAATGAGCTTTTGATAATAACAGAATTGTAATTGATGAGACATTGGTTTTAAAACTGAAACACTATAATTTCACATACATTGTATGACTAAAAAACTTCATACTGCAACCTTTGGCCTGTGGTCATCTAATTACTGACTTTTCCGACAGCACATTATTAACAGACCATCAATCAATCAATCAATCAATCAATCAATCAATCAATCAATCAATCAATCAATCAATCAATCAATCAATCAATTAATCAATCAATCAATCAATCAATCAATCAATCAATCAATCAAGTGTTTGTATAGCGCCAATTTAATCAAAGATTATTAGTAGGCCTATATGTTAGCAGAACGTCACCATTTTCACAAAAACCTAAAAAGCTTTCTTCTTTATTTTTCTTTAAGTAGGGGGGGGGGGTCTATTAAATACCGAGTACTGTTCTCTTAGGCCCAGCATAAAATACAGATACAAAGTTACAATTCACATAATATATTAGAATATACTTTTCCATAAAAAATATATTGTTATGCATGATGAATTGTTTGTTCAATCTGCTCAGCTGCTGATAATGGTACTGTGAATTTACCAATTGTGCTACAGTACTTCACTGAATCCTGCCTAGAAGACGGGGCCCCACAGATTCAGGAGGACTTTGCGAATATATTAAGTGACATGTTACCTGACTTTTGCGGTACCAACTGCACTGCAGAAAATGTAAATGTGATATGTGGACAAGTAGGTGAGTCAGTGGCTGGTCGTAGGAAACGTCAGTCATCACGTCAACTTGCATACACTATTCAGTTTACCGTTCAACTGCCAATTAGTTCAGAAGTGAGTACAATTTATTGCGTTGTATATACAGTATGTGTATAATAAAAGATACATTTCATACTATTAGAAGAAAACAAATTCAAACTACTATTGTTAAAATAGAATTAAATGAAAACATAGGCGTAGTTAGTTTTCTGTCTCATGAAGCCTTAAAACCAAATACTCTAGACTGTGCTCATGCAAAAGCAATGTATAACCTCCTCTAAAATACATGTAAAATAACATTATATCAACCATCCAACAAGTAGAACAATTTTAATAAACCAAAGTTTAGTGTAGCATAGTGTGATTTTTCTCTTTAAATACCCCAAATGCAGTAGAGGCACCAGCGTCTAAAACCCAAGTATTGTTCTCCTAGGCCCAGCATAAAATACAGATACAAAGTTACAATTCACATAATATATTAGAACATACTTTTCCATAAAAAATATTTTGTTATGCATGATGAACTGTTTGTTCAATCTGCTCAGCTGCTGATAATGGTACTGTGAATTTACCAATTGTGCTACAGTACTTCACTGAATCCTGCCTAGAAGACGGGGCCCCACAGATTCAGGAGGACTTTGCGAATATATTAAGTGACATGTTACCTGACTTTTGCGGTACCAACTGCACTGCAGAAAATGTAAATGTGATATGTGGACAAGTAGGTGAGTCAGTGGCTGGTCGTAGGAAACGTCAGTCATCACGTCAACTTGCATACACTATTCAGTTTACCGTTCAACTGCCAATTAGTTCAGAAGTGAGTACAATTTATTGCGTTGTATATACAGTATGTGTATAATAAAAGATACATTTCATACTATTAGAAGAAAACAAATTCAAACTACTATTGTTAAAATAGAATTAAATGAAAACATAGGCGTAGTTAGTTTTCTGTCTCATGAAGCCTTAAAACCAAATACTCTAGACTGTGCTCATGCAAAAGCAATGTATAACCTCCTCTAAAATACATGTAAAATAACATTATATCAACCATCCAACAAGTAGAACAATTTTAATGAACCAAAATTTAGTGTAGCATAGTGTGATTTTTCTCTTTAAATACCTCACATGCAGTAGAGGCACCAGCGTCTAAAACCTGGGGGTGGGGGTTGGGCAAGTAAGGGGGTAATTTAAAATTTTAGGGGAGAGCAATATGCTGGGTGGCTCAAAGTGAGCGTAATTGGGGGTCGCTCAAAATGTCTTGAAAGTGGTCCAGAGGCAAAGCCCTCGAAAAATATGACAATTTAGGGGTTTCGGAGGCTTTTAAATAGATTTTATAGTTAGTCTACTAATATATTTGGAAAAATACATATCATTTTTATCTCCCCGACAAATTGTGATTTTTCTTCTTTTTTTAGAGAGGAACTGGGGGTGGGGGTAAGAAAATTATTTGGGGAAATTCCCCCTGCCCCGCTGGCACCGCCTGCTTACATGCTCTTGTAATGTCCCAGTCTCAACTCATTGTTGTTATCGCAGCAATATTTATACAGAACTGAATACAATAATAGAATAGAAGAGTTTTTGTTACAAATTTGGAATAAAAATTACCGAACAAAGAATTACAGCCCTTGATAGAGGGATGACATTTTTTGTCTACAATAGGAATCTCAAGACCATGAAGCATTTCAGAGAACAGTGGATGGACTTACAGATGCCGTTCTTACTGGAAATTTAACATATACAGTTGGAGGAGTCCCACTTACTCCCTCAAAGGATATTTTCGTTGGGGAAGCTACCATCACTTGTAGAATAGGTCAGATAAGGAGAAATGGTCTATGTGGTAAGTCATTTGTAGCATGAAGCATGCCAATCATGTGGAAAATTTACGGTTGAAGCAACTAATTTGTCTATATGACTTATAACTACAAGACGATATACAATTTAATAGTTAATACTGTTAATAAATATTAGTATAGAAGATTAATCTACAAAGGATTTTAGGGAACACTTGGAGGAATTAATACGGAAAACAAATAATACATGATGATAAACTTTTAATATATATGACAGGAGAACATTATATATGCCATATAAACAGGCAATCATTCAAGAAATAATCAAATATAATATGTAGAACTTTATTATGGTCTACTCTCTACTGTTTCCGGGGGTTTAATGAATATAATGTATTGTTAGTGTATGCTGTTCTTGCATTTGTTTTTTTTTTGTTTTTTTTTTGTATTTGGTTGTTTTTTTTTTTGTAGAAGATCTGCATTGAAAAGATTTCAAGCAGAGAACTTGTTATCCACAAATAGTCTCTTATTAGTAAACCCCACACAGAAGCGGCATTGATTGGTTGAACATTTTGTTTTTTTCAGTTAACTGTCCTGCTGGTACTTTCTTTGAATATGGTTCATGCATCAGATGTGAGAAAGGCTTTTACCAGGCTAAAGAGGCTCAATTATCGTGCACACCGTGTCCACAAGGAAGCACGACTCTCTCAGAATATGCCAAATCACAACTCGAATGCAAAGGTAAGCTTGGAAAATATAGTTTTTTAATCTTTTAGTGAAGTTAAATAAATGAATTATTGAATAACTTGACTTGACATTTTTCTTCTTTCTTTAAATCCAACATGTGTTTATCTTTTGCTAAATAGTACAATCTATTTGCAATTTTTTTCTGTGTATGTGAATAAACACTTACAGTATAATAGAAAAAGATAACATAGAAAAAAAAATCTAAAACACCAAATAAATTGATCCTTGAATCAGTAAAATCTTAAACACCAAATAAATTGATCCTTGTTTTCTTCTTTCTTTAAATCCAACATGTGTTTATCTTTTGCTAAATAGTACAATCTATTTGCTATTTTGTTCTGTTTATATGAATAAACACTTACAGTATAATAAAAAAAAAATAACATAGAGAAAAATCTAAAACACCAAATAAATTGATCCTTGAATTATGAATAATCTAGCATTACAATAAGATAAAAGCATGGCATGGCTATCTATAAATTACACGTTCATTCTGATCCATATTATGAGTTAATAAAAGCTAACTATTATTAAAAGTTAATATTATCATCCTCGTCGTCTGAGCCATCGCGCATAAACGTACCAACGTTTTTATCATGTTTAAAACCACCACTAATATAAGTCAAAATAGATTTATAGAGCAGACCAAGTTTGCTTGCAGTATATAATAATGCTAATTTATTTGCTGTTCGATGACAATCAAATTATTAGTTATATTGAGGAAAATGACAATTAAAAAGAAATCTACTTTTATTTATTTATTTTTATTTTGCAGCACCTTGCAAACCGGGCACCTATTCAGAAAGTGGAATAGAGAGCTGTTTAGCCTGTCCGATAGGAACATACCAAGGAAGGGGGAGACAGACAAAGTGTTTCCCATGTCCAATTGGCTTGGCAACACCCATACCAGGGGCAACATCTCTTGAACAATGTCAAGGTACACACTTGATTTTATTCAAAAATATTTTTAGTGTACAAATATATCTTTTAAATATTGGCAATTGGCAGTCAAAGTTTGTAACATTGCTTTAGCACTATCATGGAATGGTAATTTATTTATTTAAAAAAAATATATATTTAAAATTTATAAATTATTTTAAAATTATAAATGTATGTATATGTATATATATATATATATATATATATATATATATATATAATATAATAATACTACTTGTACATGTTAATGTAAATGCACCAAATCAAACTAGAGTCATTGGATTTACAAGCCCTCAGAACTGCAATGTGCTTTTAAATGAAAGAAGACGAGGAATTATCATACCCAATGTGTAATTGTAACTTGCCATTCTCTCAAATTACCATTATTGGGGTTGGTCTGTATCACAACAATTTGAATAACCATTTTAATAAAAAATAACGTTCAAAAAATTACTGAGTCTGATGTTCTATAAAAAAAAAACATCAATAAAACCTAATAAATCAGTTAATTAGGCCTAGTTAATGTAATAAAGAAATATAATGCAATGAAGAAATATAATACAATGAAGAAATGTTGATACTTTCCAAAATTATGCTATAAACAGCAGCATTTACCATATGTGTAAGAATAACTGGTTGTGTTATAGTTCTTCTCTATGGCTTATAAAATTCTTGTGTTGTTTATTCCTACTAGCTTTTTTCTACATTTTTTTTTCGTATACATTTTCATAAACCTATATATGAAAACAAAATATAATTTACTTATTTATTTATTTTATTTTATTTCCCAAACTGAATGGACGCCAGCAATAGAGTGAATGCATACAATATAAAAATCACTAAATACATTTACAGTATAGTTATAATAAATATAAATAATAAATTATGATAATAACAATAGTAATAATGATTTTAAAAAGGTGTCCTAGTATGCTATTTGAAAAAAAAAATCTATTGATTGATTTATTTTATTTCACTTCAACCAACAGCTTGAACGCCAATAATAGTGTAAATATAAAATCACAGTGATTTGTCTAGTATAAAATGGGAGGGATTACTTATCTTTTAGTGTTAGCACACCGTCTTTCGGATGAGACGTTTAAGGCCTTGGTCCCATGTGCATAATGGGCCAAGATTAGAACCGGCACTCTCATAAGCACTTATAAATGCTTTTTAAGTGTTTTTCAGGGTCATTTAATTTAAATTATGGATGTCCGCCGAAAAGTCACTCTTTTTTTAAAATTAATGATTTATTTTAAGTGTACTATATTTCTCATATACCAATAATTGTTAAAATTAACAAACCAATAACTAATAAACAAATACATACACACACACACACACTCCTGTCTCTTATACACATCTAGATGATCCATATTTTAATTACGCTTATTTCAAACGGAAAATCACAATGCAAATCCAAGGGCCTCAATAAACGTTTGGGGTGTTTGAAACCTACCGATCTGAAAAAAATGTAACAACATAGTTGGTAAAATTTTCGAATTTCTGAAGTGAATATCAATTCATATTTCAAATTAATTGTGAGAAAAATAATTACTTTTACCGACGTTTTTCATTTGACCATCTTTCACTGGACCGAATAATGTTGACGTGGAATGCCAAAAGGGAAACTTTCAAGCACAGCCGATTTTCAAGTACATTCTGTTTTCAGGCAGGGTCGGTTAACAAACACGGTAGATTGTCTTCAAGCACAGTCGGTTTTGGGTTTCTCAATGAGTTAAAATAAAACGTTGCTTTAGCTGTCCCCGACCAATACTGTCTCATCTCATACTTTTAGTGGTTTCTAAATATTTTTATGTTATGAAAAATGATATGAAACTGTTATCAAAACGATAATTGTCCATGAAGCATGCTTTGTAAGTCATACAACATAATTTTACCACTGCATTTCTGACATGAACGTAAAGAAAATAACTGAGCGAGGTAACTAATCATGGCATATTACAGGTTAGCGAGGGAAGTAAGCGCACCCTTTAGTTACTTAAATTAATAATACGCTTTTTAATTATAAGGATAATTTATTTTTTCACTTATTTCTTTCTGCAGTAATTGATGAGTGTCTGATGTCTCCCTGCCTAAATAATGGATTTTGTTATGACTTAGAAAAAGGTTACAAATGCATTTGCCGAGACGGTTTTACAGGTGATAACTGCGAGGTCAACGTGGAAGATTGTTCACCTGGGATTTGCAAGAATGATGGTACATGTGTTGACCAAGTCAACGGGTTTATGTGTGTTTGTCCAACTGGTTTCAAAGGCCGAACATGTGTGGTCAACATTGATGATTGTAAAAATAGTAGGTGTTTGTATTATTGTAGAAAAATACATAAGTTGTTTTAAATGTCAAATATACACATACATACATACATACATTAGGTTAAGCTTGAAACATCAAATGTGCAGAAGTTCCATAAGCTATATTTATTTATTCATTTTAATGTGTACATTAGTAGATCAGGTAATGTCATTATATTTATTATTATTGTTGTATGCTGCAACCATTGCAGTTGCTGTTACTGTTGTCTTTTCTGTGTAATCGTACATTTGTATAATAAATAGTAAATTAACATTAATTTAGTAGTTCATGCCGCAGAAGCATGTAAAACACATAACTTATTACACATTTATTGTATAAATTTATCAATTTATAAATGTGTATATATATATATATAATTATACATATTCACACCAATGATCGTTACTTTTACAAAAAATTGTACAAGGTCAAAATATATTTTCAAAGAAAAAGGAATATATTTTTATCAATTTCTTTCTAGTTGTCCTTTCTTTTTAAGTGATCAGATATCAAATATTTTTATGAATTATATTTTAATTGTAATTGCTTTTGCGTCTTTGTATTGCTAGAAGAAAACAAATTTCGAGTTGTTTATTGGACAATATATGTTATCTTATCTTATGCGAGTGCGTAAAAATGCCCCAACCGGAATTCGAACTAGGGACCATCTGCTGTATATGCAGTGAAAATATCGGTGGTTAGACATGTATAAATTTTTGAAGCATAACTTTACAGACTAATACATACTTATATCGGAACAGTAGTACGTATTTGTATGTTAATGGACAAAAATTGTTTTAATTATGATTGATAATTACTTCTAATAATCTTGATATACAAAGTAATCAATTTGAATATAGAATTTAATGTTTTATACTTGTACAAATGTAGGTACTGTTAGGGTTAAATACAAACATTTATAAAATTGAATTACATGATAGACACCTGAACTGAAATAATTATTAACTTCATTGATTAAAAATGGTTTTATTTGATAATTAGATCATTGCCGTGGTAATTCAGTATGCGTGGATGGTCTAAACAGCTATACATGTGCATGTGCTGCAGGATTTACTGGACGATTATGCGAAATTAACTATAATGACTGTGCCAGTAATCCGTGTGTTAATGGAGGGACATGCTTTGATCATATTGGGGTAAGCTACACAATTCAACATCTGTATTGCATTGTATTAATATGCTTTTTAATATAAAACTTTAGTCATGCATTGGACATTTAAGCAATTCATGTTGTAGTGAAGGAAATATATGCACAATTTGCCCTACCTATTCTTGAGGATTGTGCTAAAGAAAGAAAACTACATCTTGTTTTTTGGTCATGCATGTACTCTTTTTTTGTTTATAAATACAGTAAATAACCTAGGTATGGTGAATATTTTGGTCTTGATGTTTACATTTTATTAATCTTACATAATTTATCTTTCACATTCTTTCATATTTGTCCTAGTAATTAACCTATTGATGTTTTAGTTTTATGCAACTGAATTCCTATTCTGCTGCAATTGAGGAAGTTTATTTTCACCTCATTTAACAGAATAATATTCTGTATTGATTACAAATATCACATAGGATCCACGAATAATGCTATACACTCCTTTTCTTTTTTTTTTCATAAGAAACAGTAAAATTTTGCCCAGGCTCAGTGTTCTTATTTTTTGGCCGATTTCAGACTCAAAAAAATGCTCTTATTTTGTTCTTATTTACACAATTTGCAAACATAAAAAACTATTATTGTACAGCATTTTACATTGTACTAAAATGTAGGTAAAAGTGGCCCTGGAAAAATAGGTCCCTGAAAAATAGGCCCTAGAATAAAGGCCCCTGTAAAAATGGCCAACACACATAAGGAACAGATATTTTTGGGTTTTTCTAGTTTTTAAAAATAAACATCTCATTTAACATTTTACCAGAGCCTCAATTTGTTCTTCTTTTGTTCTTAATTTTTAAGCAGTTTCAGTCCAGTGTGCTTATAAAATGTGCTCTTATAAAAAAAGATTGTAATTTACCTTGAATTTACATTGAAGACTAGGACTAGAGAACGTAGCTCATTTGTCCCTCAATTATCATTTGTGCAAACTCTTCCGTAACATAAGGGCGTCCCGTAAGGTGCTGGTTGGACCAAAATTTGGCAATACCCGATTTAAATTCATCGATTGTTTTAGATTCAACTACATGATTTGGTAATTGATTCCAATCGTTCGCTACTCTAACTGTGATAATGAAGATTTTCTAACATTTACTTTAAATTTCGGCTTAGAGACCATGAATTTGTGTCTACTAGTTTGGCTAAACCTCGACATTTATAAACTTATCAATACTAACCCTATCTATATTTCTAAATAATTTGAATGTTTGTAATACGTCAGTCTTTTTCCTCTTAAAAGCAAGTGTAGGTAAATCTAAGGACCTAATCTCTCCTCATAGGTCTTATTTCTTAGCTCTGATACAAGTTTATAGATCTCTGCTGGACCTTCTCTAAACGATCTTTATCTTTCTGGTAAAGAGGAATCCATGCACTTCCACCATATTCAAATTTAGGTTTAATCATAGACTTATATAAATAAAGATAACTCGAACCATCAAGAAAGTTACAAGATCGACATATCTTACAATCTTAGAAACATGAGAATAAAAAAAACCCAATTTATGATCAATTACAATTCCTAGATCAGTTACTTTATTGACACTCTCTATGCTAACTCTGGAAGCACCCTCACCAATATAATATTGAAACATCATGTTTCAAATTGAAGTATTTTGCATTTTGTTAAATTGAAGTGTTAAAATACCAATAGACCATCGATACATTGCATCAACATTATATTGAAAGAGAGCTCTATCAGAATCGGATTGAATAATATTAAATAATTTAGTATCGTCCTCAAAAAGTTGTCTTACTATATATCAGAATGAGAAATAACACCCGGCAAGTCGTTTATAAAGATTAAAATTAATAATGGCCCTAGGACACTGCCTTGGTGTACTCCACCATTCAGACATCTTCTCATTGACTACTACTCTCTGCTTAAATCCATCAAATCCATAAGACTTCATTTTAGTCATTAGTCGACAACCTCAATTAACTGTGTTACGTAAAGCCTGGTTTCCTGTCGACGTAACAAGGCAGATTTACTTACGACTACGTCGTTTTATCGTAACAAAATGCGATTTGACAGGAAACCGATTGCGACTGGTGCGTGTGAAATCGACGTAACGTAAGGTTAAATTGTCGCAAAGCAATGTTGGACAGGAAACCGTCGTATTGAATTTTCTTGCAATACGTCGATTTTCCACGATTTGACAGGAAACCGCGATTCAGTGACTTATGCTTGAGTGATCATGCTTGCGATACCTTGTGTTACGTCTCTTACGAAAGTTGACTCCAAGTCAACTTTCGTAAGAGACGTAGCATTATGGACCAGAAATCGTAAGAAGCAGCCAATCAGATACGGGAATTATGACGTAGCCTTTATGACGTACCACGTTTTGACGTGGCTGAAACTGGTCAGATTGTTCTACAGTAGAAAAAATATAGGCCCTATGAAAATACTGCGTTTCTTGCTTCTTTGACTAGTCTACAAAACGCCACACATCCACGCAGTAGCCTATACAATTGTGTTTGTTATTATTATTATTATCATTACTATACTGAAATTGAATTCGAAAATAAACAAGGATTTGTTCAATTACAATCGTATAATACCAAGCGAATTGTTTAGAAATAAATCTGTTGTCAACCATTCCTATTTCAAGTCAAGTGGTTGTATGAATTTTTTTTAAATAGTTAGGCCTATAGGTTTAATCGGGAGAAATAATATATTTTAAATTGTGCAAGTAATAATTAGGAAACAAGTGTTATTCCATGCTTCAATAAACGTATAATAACATAATATACTCATAGGTCTACACCTTTTTTTTTTATATAAGAACCAGAGCAATTTTGCCGAGGCTAAGTGTTCTTATTTTTCGGCTAATTTAAATCAAGCTCATAATGTTTATTAATGCCTATATATATATATATATATATATATATATATATATTATTTTACTCACTTTTTAAAAATAGACAAATATTATTTCACAGCAAATATACTGTACTGTATTACAAATGATATCATCATTGTCACACCTACTGTGCCTATGTAAAAATAAGACTAAAATATTTTTTTCTAGATTAAAAAAAAGAACATAATTATCGCATTTGAAATTTTACCTCAATTTGTTCTTATTTTTAAAGCAATTTCAGCAGTCCAAGTGTTCCTAAAACCCGGGGTTGTAAAATGTATCAGTTACACACAAATAGGCATACATGCCAGTGGATTAGTAGCACTAGCTCAGCAGCACCGTTTGCTTATGGTAATGACAACAATGATGGTATAATGAATAATACTGCAACAAATTAGTTGGTCGTTGCGAAATTTCAATGAGAAGAGTAGTAAAAATGAAAATAACAAATTTTATCACAAACCAAGGGGGCCATATATACAGCAGGAGTGAGGACCGTTTTATATCTATTTTGTCAATTAGGGCTAAAGTTTACCACCAATCCAACTTTCCCGCATACCGATTTTTTTGTCATAATCTTTCTCTCAAAATAGATTGGGTGACAAGCACCTCGAGGCCGTGGCCAATTAATTCAGTTTCCAAGAATTAAAATTTAGTGGTATGAAACACGAATGTTCAGGGAATGTTCGAAGCATCATTATTTTGTGAAACAAAATGAATTTTACAAACATCAAATAGGCCTTTTTGTATTTTAATAATGTAAGCCTAGCTTCTTTGCAATAATACATGTTATTAATGTTAGACGTTTTGCTAACATTTACAGTGCAGCTCATAATATAAAGAGGTAGAGGCCTAAATTCGCGCGAAAACCCTGGGTAACAAGGGCGGATTAGTGGGAAAGGCAGCCAATCGTAAGTGACTACAAATTACGTCATTTTTATGTCGTCGTATCGCAAGAAAAATTCAACTCAACGTAACAGTCGCAAGCGCTCGTTTTGGACTCTGGATGGAGTTCAACGTTGTAAGTTCAACTTTCGTAAGCGGCTGAAAATTGCTTGTTTATCTGCGGCCCAACACGATCAACGCAAACGTCGTTGATGTCGGCATTATTTCAACTTTGCGTAAGAATCGTAAGAAACGTATGAAACGTAAGAAATTCTGATATTTACGTCGACAGGAAACCAGGCTTAAGTAATGCGATTTTCCACTTTTTTTTTCACAGAACTTTACTTGCTGTTGTCCACCAGGGTATGAAGGTTGGACGTGTGCAGAAGA